TTCAGCTCTTTTGGACCACCTCTATCTTCTCATCCTCCTTCCCCTCTTTACCCTCTTTTCCAGCATCCTCGTGATATATTGTAATGGTATTGGTTCCTAACTACACTATCTTCGACTCGGAACATATATTTACTGGAGATTTGCTTTCAATATGTAACACCAAGAAAAATTCAAGAATAGTGAATGCAGGAACATTTATTCAACCGGATTTAATGGCTCAACCTCTCAGCCATTCTGTATAACTTGTCTTAATTCACGTTAAATATATTATCCTTTCTTCATCCCAAATGTGTTATTCAGAAATATTAGACGCTATATTGCTGTTTCTTACTATACGATGAGTCAGTGTAAACAATGATGGGACTTCTACGTAGGATCTCACGGCTTAGATAGTCACATCATGAGAGGCCCGCAATTTTAGGATAATGTCTAGCATTGCAGCGATTAGGATGACAAGCTAAACCAAAGACACATATCGATTATACAACTTGGTCTTAAATCTTCATTAATACCTGGATATTTCAGAAGGATTTGAGGTTGTGTTTACTAAAGGACTGTTAAATTTGATACTTGGGGACACTATCAAGAGCAAAACAATACGTTAAAGTCGACGTTTTTAATTGACCTTTTATGTATTTACTGCATTACTTCTTGTTACAAACAATTCTGGACTTCACTCACATTTATTCTTGGTCACCAGCTGCTCGTCACATGACCTTTATAAAGCGCACTAACTCAGTAGACGTTCGAGTCGTATATTCACGTTTGTCCTCCTGTTTCTACGACCAGTGTGTCTTGTGCCATATCAAACTAACTGAATAATGTATTATGATAAATCCTGTTGCGTTTGTAACGGCCTGGTCTTGTCTATAAAACGAGGCGCCTCACCTAAAATATCTTTATTTGAAAATAGCTAATTATTATTTAACATAATTGTGGGTGGAGGATGGCGTTACTAACCAGCAAACATTGATGGTGGCGTTCTGGTTACGATCCACTCACGTTTGTGAGGTGGAAAATTTTGTTTATCTCCGGCTCATTATGATTGGTATTAGCAAAATCATTCAATGATATTGAGATTTTCTACCATGTATCGTGCATCTGGGAATCTTGTTTCCCACTTTATGTTGGTCTCGCTACTTTACCAAGTCGTTCTATTACAAGCAACATCAGACGCTTAAGTCCATACCTGACAGTAGGCATTCGATAACAACCCAGCGCTCAAACAGCAGAACGTTACTCGCCTACCGAGGCATGTGGTCTTCTTTTCTAGTCTTAGCCGAGAATAAAACAGTATTTTCTGTTGAGATTATGGAAAACAAATCTTTTCAGATATATTAACATTCGGTTTATGTTTTGTTGTACGTTAGGATTACAATCCAACAACTTCAAAACAAGTAGTTATGTGAACATAATTATATAACTGTTTTGACCATTTAACAGGACCTCAATCTAGCACTTTCAAAAGATAAATAATCCTATATGGCAACGAATAATACTTGAAATTGTATATGCTATTCATGAAATTGTATCTGGACGCTATAACTCACATACTTATTGGAATTAATTATTTAATTTGAACCTCAATCTAACACTTTCAAAAACGTATAGTCGCATCAGATGAGGAATTAAGCTGCAAAACTTGCATATAATCCTTGAATTGCCTTCGGATGCTGTAACCCTTTCTCCGGAGCTTCCTGTTTAATTCGGTGAGTTCGTTATAGCTACTGGCCAGTGCCAGTCACCAGTACGAAAATTTTCGAGGATATTGCATCTCAAGTATTCAAAGCAAGAATGCTCGTAGGATTCATTGTGATCGATTTCAAAAACATCGAATCTAGGTTGCTATTAAGTCAAAAGTATATCATCCTATTCTTGAATATGGTACTTTAGTTTACAGCAATTGCGGGAATAATGATTTGCTGAAGGTAAAAGACATAGTTTACTACTTGATGCACCAGATCACATAGAGACTCATCAATGAAGATGTCATGGATTTTCGGTGTTTGTCAATGCTATTATCCTAAACTTCTCTTTATGTAAAAATCCAAAATTCAACCGGATCAGAAGCCGAAAATGAAGAGATGCGAGGATACCTTTTAATATCGGCCGATGCGTTTAAGTATGTACAACCTAAACAGACTAGTTTTGCACAAGAGATTCTCAACGAGGCGTGTTGAAACGTGATTTGTTAATGATGCTTGGCGAAGCAACGTCAGTTAGGAGTGTGCAGTAAAAATAATGAAGTGAGTATCAATGTTGAAGGCTTATCAAACTACTATTTTTAGTTTATTCACCAGCACACGCACCTGCAACGACCAAAGAGTTTATGTATTATACTCGATGATAAATCAAAATGAAATATATATTACGAGACAATCATCATTATCTGCTGACGTTGGTACTGGGATAATCTCGTTGGAATGTACTCGACTAACGTTGACATGAAACCAATTTAATCAGCGAATGGCTCTGAAGAGTGAGTCAGTGTACTTCACTGAAATTCAAACGAGAATTTTAGTCCTTATTCGATTTGCATTTCTCAAACTTTTGCTGTGTTCTTATGCAACATAAACACCATTTCTGATCTAAAGAATCTATTCTGAGCTATACGTCCGGTAGATTACTTTTTTTTAGTTTCACCAAATTTAATAGTTAACTGTGACATTGCCTCAGCTTACTGTTCGTTTTTTTTTCAGTTTTTCACGTGAAGGCTAGTTCAGTCCATCACATCCGTTTTTTTCGTTTTTGCCCGTTTTTAGTGTGCTTTTTAGTGTCTTGTTTAACGGTCTTAGGCGTTTTCTAGCATCTATGATACAGTTTACGTCAATATAGTCATGAAAAATTCGTGCAAACCACCTGAGTGCCGTATTGCTGTTACATCTGGTATGCAGGGCGATAAGTGCAAAGGTTGGTTCCATGAAGCGTGCACAGATCTCGCACCAGCTGCTTACAACAGAGTCAGCAAGTCGGATCATAAGTGGGTATGTGTTACATAGAACACGGATGATGTAGTTTTGCTGAGTAACATCATTGTCCTATTGACAGGTCTGAGGAATAAGTTGTCAGCAAACTTGGAAAAAGACAGTCATAAAATGGGTAGACAAACAAGGAGGCGCAACGAAAACAAGAATAGGGACGTCGACAGGTCTACTATGGATGGAGCATGCATTAGCAATAGTGATGACATGCTGAAACTCAGCACCATCATAACGTCTACGGTAATAGACTCCATCAGCAAACTCGGGTCTCCCAGCTCATGATCCTTCAATGCAACAGTGGTTCCTAAAAACTCTGTAGGTGATTGGAACCACGTTAACAGGGCTAAAAAGGATCAGGAGTCATCGTCTAAGCAGAACATTCCAAGTACTGTACGAAAATCAAGAGGTAATTTGGTCGCACAATCTACCCCCAAGAATATCCGCCCGGTCATGAAAGAGCTTAGGAATCGGAAACGCGCTTCGACTTCCAAACAACAAGGTGCTGAACCTGAACTCAACAGAAAACCTGGTAAAACAATAATGGTTCATGATGACTCTCCCATAATCATGAACCTCAAAGACAACCCTGACCTTCCTCTCAGTTTGCAGGACAAAAGTGACAGCATGCTCTGGGGACAATTGAACAGGAGGCTTGAACTTCCCAGAACAGAGCCTTTGACGGTCACGCGGCTCACTGGCGGAAAAGAATCTTAGCATCAAAATCACCCGAGGCTACTTCGTGTACCACTTAAGAATGCTACCGACGTAGAGGGTGTCCTGTTAGCTAGTCATTAACTGAAATCCTATGGGAACGTAAGAATACTGTCCGACAGACCGTATTCTGAGCGCGATCTCATCCGGAACACCCCTGAAGAATCTCGTGAGTTTTTCCTTGGAAGAAATATCAATGTACAAGGTGTACTTGTTGCTGATGACGTGAAACCTTGGAGAGAGATACGCAACCAAGACGATATACAAGTACTTCGGGAGGATCCGACTCGGCTTCAAAATTGGGCAGACGATAACGGACTTACCTTTAACACTTCAGAGTGTAAAGTGGTCCATCTGCGATATGTTACAGACTACAGTTACAACCCAAGAAACTCCTCTCTAGTAGTATCCCGAGTTGAAAAAATTTAGGAGTCCTGGTACCCTACGATTTAAAGCCCTACGCTAACTGTGACAGAAATGCCTTTCGAGCAAACCTTGCACTGATAACATCGAAGCGCATTTTTGGCCAGTTTGACGGCAGAACTTTCCACATAATCTTCAACAGTTTTATTTGTCCCCACTTAGCGTACGGAAACATAGTATATCCTCCCTCACTCCAAAAGGATAAGGACACTCTGGAGTGTATCCAACGGCGAGCCACGAAATCAGTTCGGGGACCCGAATTCCAGCCTTATGAAGAGCGTCTCCAATCACTTAGACTTTACCCACTACAGTATAGGCGTCTTAGAGGTGACCTAACACTTCTGGACATCCCCCTAAACACCTACTAAAGTTTAGCTCCAACAAAAACCTAAGGGGTAACACCCAGAAACTGGAGATACAACATAGCAGAACGGACTAAGGGCACAACTTCTACTCCTTAAGAGTTGTCAAATGCTGGAATTCGCTGCCGACTTAACTAGTCCAAGCGACTTCCCAGAAGTCCTCTAGGAGGAAACTTGACCTATTCTTAAGGACCAAGGATAACATCTTATTATGATTTACCAGTAGGTCGGTAAAAAGCAAATAAAATAATATATTGTTTCACAGATCAAGAACGAACGGTATGTCTGTTGTATATTACTTTTTGAAATGTGTGACCAACCCTTAAAATACACTGAGTGATGTAGTGTTCACTCTTCAGTCAGTCCATGCAAGAGTATATACTGAAAATACAGAAATACATTAGTCGAGTGATAAAATACGTCTTGTGCCTTCTTTCTAGAATCTTAATTCAGTTTGTGTACTTGAACATGACGGTGAGCTACAAAAACGTGGCTATTTGACTAGCGTGCTACGTTCTTACAGATGGCAGCTGTTATTCAGGATCCTTCTCGCCAGATTACGAAGCCGGAACTAGTATTCAAGATCGACGGACTCTCTTGTGGTGTAAATGATGCGATCTTTATTCCTGGTAGAGACTCTATCGTCACAGGATCAGAGGATCGGCAAGTTGCATATTTTCCTGACTAAATTTTTAGCACTTTGAGGATTTGGGTCAGGAGAGATACTGGGAAGTTCTGGCCAACAGTTATCGAGCTGCTACCCAGTACGTTCCATTACATTAGTGCTTTGATTACTAGGTCCCATTACCTGTATCACGTATTCTGCCGAATTACACAGATTATTCGTTGGTTTGGAGAATGGAACGGTTGTAGAATATGACGTTGCTGAAGATTTGAATCATATTGAACACAAAAGGGACTATCTCTCTCATACTGCTAGGACAACTGGGATTGTTTGCACCCCAGATATGGGTTGGGTTGTATCTGCTTCAAAAGATCGTACTGTCGCATGGTATTCGACCAATAGTGGTAGACGTATATGTGAACATAATTTAGAGCACTCAGCCACTTGTTTGGAGTAGGTGGATTGTTTTTATCATGACAGCTTGCCTACTTTGTGTGGTTTGGTTTGCAAATATTTACGCGGGATCTAAAACATTACTCTCTAGACTTTTGCGGACTTATTAATAAAACACAAAAGAACTCTCTTTTGTTGAAAAAATCGTTTCTCATATCTCGAGTGAGACTAAAGGATAATTTTTTAGACTTTTGTGTTAAGGATCCGTGTGCATGTGTTCTGCGAAACACGGAATACATTGAGTATCTGTTATGTTCGACCGTGGCAAAGGTCTGCTATTGTAGTGTCTGTCAAGCACAATATCTTTAACAAAGTTCTGAGTAAAGTCGCGTATAAAATAACAAAATTCACCGAAAAATCAAATATTTTCAGTTAACTTATATACCACTTCATGCACAAATAAGTTTATTGTATATAATGTATGTAAATCATTTCTTACTTAAATACTTCTGTTTGTTTGGAAACGAGTCACTTTCGGAGCGATCCAGTTTCCATTGATGTCTAGAGGTTTACATAATCCCGTATTCTAACGAGCATAAATGAACATCTATCATTTACTCTATCTAGTTAGTCGCACTCAACTAAAACTTACGACTTTTATGAAGATATCAACATATCTGACCACACATTCAGTATTCAAGTTCACTCAAATTAGTATCAAAGCTTATGAGTTGTATTACTTTCGTACACTATTTTTAAACCACTTCGATACAATGAACGAGGCTATCTTCTGTCCTGCCCTGTTAACTAAAGCAAAAGGACCAGTTTCGTAGTTAAAGCTTGCTGATAATAATAAACTCAAAGTACATTTAAGTTAATCGATTATGCATCAGTTGTCTTGATTAGAATTTATGGATTGAGTTTTTGTCAGTAAACAAATAATAGTAAAAATGTGTTGAGAGTCCATGGACAAAATCACACTAAATAATATAATGCACTGAAAAACCATCCCAGTTGATATCGTTTTCCTTCCTCATAAGTTGTATTTGGGGATTGTACATCTCTGATATGTTGGATATAGTTCAATACTATTTACCATGTACAATCTTCATTTATAATCTTGTAGGATTCAGCATCTTTTTGCTTCATACTTTTACATAAACCTTTTATCTTCATTTCTCAATTTCTTGACCGTTGTAGTTGTTATAGTCGGACAGTTTTACTGTTACTTATGGGATTTACGTTTTCTCGACTACAGATATGATGTTGGCTCACACTACGTGTTTGTTGGTGATAACAGCGGTCGCATTACTTTACTGAGCATTAATCAAGTCAATGGTCAAGTAATGTGTCGTGTAATTCGTGAACTCCGTGGTCATGAGCAGTCAGTATCCTTTCTGGCTTGGGATAGTGTGAATTCTCGTCTATTTTCTTGCAGTGCCGACCGTTCTGTTATCTTCTGGGATATTGGTGGAGCTAAAGGTTCATCTTTTGAGTTGCAAGTCAGTGCACTATTCTCTTCTTTGGTTTAATTTCCATTATTTACACCCTAAGTTGTTTAACACAATTTTGAAATTTGGAAGGATATAGGGTCAAATTTGAAAGTTAAATACTACCACCAAATACAACTTCTGTACCAACCTTTCCGCGACCACGTGCGCCACACGAACTGGCCTTCTTGACCGTTCGCTCAGTAATCTAGGTCGGATAACAGATAGGGGTTGGCCGTCTTATCTTAACATGGATGTCTGTTATCTATTTGACCGGCGTTCGAAAGTTTAGTGAGCTTCTACACATCCGCTCTCCATATGTCGATTCGGAAAACTTGTGTAATATGCCTTTACCCGAAGACCTGTGATCTTTCTGACGTTCATGTCACACCAAGCACCAGAGTTGAAACAACAACCCTACATAAACTGCAACTAAAATCTTAAGGCCCCTACATACTAACACCTCAGGCAGAGTGGAGACACAAAACCAAACCTCTCATTGTTCCATTCAAGCAGTGAGCTTGGCATGGTTGCCCGACCCCACCATTCCTTATCAACTTCTTCATCGATGACATTCTGTAAACAGCTCTAGTGGTAGGTGATAGTGGTCAGGATCTGCTACCTGGAGACTCCATGGTTGGGGTCCGAGAAATATTGCAACACAGCGGCTTAAGACGTTATCAAAAATGGCCCAGTATAAAAGTAATTGACAGGACTGGTATAATCTACTCTTACTTTCTTCATATAAGTGAGAGGAACCTCGTGCTGAAACAATCTTCGGTTCTGTTTTTCTTAACTGAACTGCTCCCATTATTGTTTTATTCTTATCCACTTATTTTTATCGGCATATTACTTTTTTATTTACCATACTCACCCTCCTTCCTCCATGTCATGTTCTTATTATGAAGTGTATAAATATTCTAGTACCCCTTTGTAAAAATATTTGAGCTTAAATAACCAAATTTTAAAAATATGTCAAGGTGAATTCATTGTAGCACTACATTACACTCAAAAATGTCAGGTCTACAAACTTTTTAGCGAAAAACCATCTGTTAGATTCTTAAAAAAGGAACTTCTGAACATCTTGATATCTGACCATCGTCACCTCTGGAAGATTACTCACAGTTTATGCTAAAAAACTTGACCTAACCTAGCTTAAACGGGGAGCCAACGAGATACACATTCCCTTTATCTGGTGGCCTGAATGCTAGATCTCGTGGACTAGCGGGTTTGGGCATAGCATTAAATATGAGGGCAGAACAAGCACTATTAGGATGCATCCCTGTTAACAGTCGCTTGTGTGCTATTCGGATAAACAGCTCCGTAAGAACTCGGAAGGATAGGGACACACGTCGTTTCTACCTACACTCCCACTAACTGCAGCCCGGACGAAGTGAGATGAATTTTACAGGAAGCTTCAAAAAGCTAAACACGCAGACATAGTACTTGTAGCAGGCGACTCTAACGCCCAAGTGGTTAGCTTAAAACAAACAGAAATACATTTAGGTAGGTATTTAGGTATTCCGGATCAGCGAACAGATAATGGTGATTGTCTGCTGCAACTGTGCTCAAACAATCGTCTATTTTCCACCAAAGACGAGCCGCTGTATAAGTATAAGCGGCGCATATATATTGGCGCTCTATTGTACCAATATTCATGTGTTCAAATAAATAAAATAATCGTCTAATTTTAACAATGCCCTGGTACGGCCGAGAGTGGGGAGAGTCCGCCCTCCCTCTCGAAATACTCTCACACGGCCGCGCGTGTACAGCCTCTGCCAGGGGAGTCCTACTCATTGCCTTCTCGTGGCGGGGGTGTTGTTTACAAAAATGAGAGGACGAAAAGCGAATGTCCGGCGCTTTAACCGGATCACAAACCAATGGCGCACATGGGCTCCAGTATCCTGACGGAACAAATGGCGTATGAACCAATCGTTGGTCACCGGCTACCATGGGATTGCATCTCCTTACGATGCTCCACTGCCTTGTGGGTTAGACCTTTAGATCAAAGGCTCGGGGAGTGGCCCCCTAAGATAACCACCTGCTTCGGTTTGGACACCCGGGCAGTATCGCAGCGCACACACAAATGATGGACTCTCTATGTCTATGGAAATTACTTGTCTCGCTTCGAAAAACAATCAATTGATTCAAATTATTATCATTACAATTATTGTCATTATTAATACTATTATTATCATTACTATTATTGTCATTATTATTTTCCACATTATTCACCCTCTTTTATACTTATACAGCGGCTCGTCTTTGGTGGAAATTCGACTGTATCTAGACGTTCTCGAGTCACTGTCCGGTTGAAAATTGTATGTTACCACCGAATATGAGTACTGAAGCAGTTTTTCTGAAACCACGTGCGCCATTCAAACTGGCTGCCTTCAACGTTCGCACACTTATGCAGGTTGGACAACAGATAGGGCTGGCTATGTCTTTGGAAAGTCTTCATATCGATGTCTGCTGTCTATCCGAGACCCGTATCCAAGACTCTGGTGAAGTACTACAAATTCGCTCTATATCTGTCACTTCAAAAAGCTTGTTTCACGTGCGCTTATCCGGGGACCCTGTGGCATCTTCGTCTGGTCTTGCTGGCGTTGGTGTCGCACTAAGCGCTAGAGCTGAGGCAGCACTAGTCGATTGGATCCCTATTAACAGTCGGTTATGTGTTGTTAGATTAGAAAGTTCCATCAAAGTGAGGAGAAATCGGCGTGAGAAACGGTCTTTTCGTCATCTCCGCCTATGCCCCGACAGATTGCAGCCCGGATGCAATCAAGGATGAGTTTTACCACCAGTTATCTGTTCTTCTCCAGAAAGTGCGTTCGACAGATATTGTGGTACTAGCCAGAGACTTGAATGCTCAGGTCGGGCGTCTAGGCACAGAAAAGAGTCGTTTAGGTGGCCGATGGGGACTCGTTGGTCGTAGGTCAGATAATGGGGACCGTCTACTGCAAATATGCACAGACCACAACCTGTTTCTGGCTAGCACTAACTTTCGGCACAGTCATCGCCGATGTGCCACCTGGCGTCCTCCCTCTGCATCTCAAGCCTGGACTCAGATTGATCACATCGCGATCAGCTACCGCTGGCGTGGTTGTGTACAAGACTGCCGCTCCTTTTGAAGTACCTATCTGGACTCTGACCATGCCTTGGTCTGCGCCAATCTTGCCTTACTTTTCAGTGGACAACGAAGTGACCGCCATCAACGGATTGATGTTAGCAAGCTGGTTGCAACTTCTGTTGCAAGTAAGTATCGAACCGAGCTAGCCTCTAGGCTAGCTACCACTCCACGTGTGTGTGGCGCATATATATTGGCGCTCTCTTGTACCAATATTCATGTGTTCAAAATAAAAAAAATAAATTTTAACAAGCACTAATTTCAAGCATAAGAAGAGACATCGTCTAACGTAACGACCTCCTGCAACAAACCAACGATGAACTCCAATAGGCCATATTGCCATCAGTCATCCTTGGAGAAGCCAGATAGAAGACTGCTTCTCGTTCTGGGGTACATGTTTAGACTCTGTTCATGCTCTAATACGAGCACGCATTCACCTGCGCCTCACTGGATGCAGAAAAGCCACATTAAACAGACCCATTAAAAATGAAGTCAGCGATGAGAAGGGCAAAGGTAAATTTTAGGAACAAACGAAGTCACACTTAGGCAATTCTGAAAACAAGGCTGACCCAGATGTTACTTGTAAAGATATACTAACAGCTGTGGAAACAGTAGCGACATCTATTAGTGATTTGAACCAAAGGGCCACGAAAAATCAGTGGATTTCTACGAAGTCTATTGCCCTGATAGACCCTCGCAAATTCATCCCATCAGGCTCCGAACACGATGAAGAGCGAAAGCAAGTCAGATCTAGGCTAACCAAAAGCAAAAGATATGGAAAAGACAGCGGCTGTATGTAACACAAGACGGCTTTTCGAACTAATAGAAGAAACCGGGATTAAGAAGTTAAGTGTAAGTGAGACAATCTCGAAAATAACGGCGCTCTTAGATATTTAGAACGATGGGTTGAACACTTTAGGGAGCAGTTCAGCTGCTCTACAGCTACCCACCATCTCCAAACAGCCTGAGTGGAACACTGAAGTAGGTCCACCAACTAATCGAAATTTCAAAAGCTATAGCTAATCTGAAACGAGGAAGAGCAGCTAGTCCAGATGGATTGGCTCCAGAGGTCTTTATGTATGGTGGTCCAGCTTTAGCGATTAGGTTAGCTAATATTTTAACTAAAATCCGGGAGTTGAACTTAATCCCATCTGACTGATCACAATCACTGATTGTCCCAATATATAAGAGGTCAAAATCATCCTGTGACTATCATAGTACATTAGTTTGAATAACATAACATCTAAAATACTAGCCTCAGTAACTACAGGACGCCCAACAAAGACTCGTGAACTGCAAACACGTGAAAATCGGGCTGGCTTCAGACCTGGTCGTGGCCGCATCGACCACAGATTCAACATTCATCAGATCTTAGAACACAGGCATGCCTATCAGTATCCGATATGATAGCTTTCCTTGACTTAAAAGCAGCATTTGACTCTAGACCGAGATGTTCTGTGGCAGTGTCTGTCATTGAAAGGCGTGCCTCAGAAGTACGTAAATCTTGTGAAGTCTCTTTACTCGAACACTACCAGTCGAGTTAGAGCTTATGGCGAACTGTCATCCGATTTCACAACTTCAAGTGGTGTCCGACAAGGCTGTTCACTATCTCCATTTTTGTTTAATTTCATCATAGACCTACTGCTGGAAATAACGTTCTCGTCGACTGAGTTTTCAGGAATTGATCTCCTACCAGGAGATACACTTAGAATACACAGATGACAGTCCTGTTTGGTGAAGACGCTAATAAGATGCAGAGTTTTTGGTAGCACTCAGCAACAATGCCAGAATGTTTGGAATGCGTTTCTCCACCTCTAAATGCAAATTATTACTTCAGGACTGACCTGCGTCAACACCTGAACTAAGGATAGGGAGTGAGTGGTCGAACACGTCGACAACTTCACTTATCTTGGAAGTCTGTTCGGCACTAATTGATTGGTGCCTGACAAAATCTCTGCACGGATTCAGAAAGCTCGTTTGGCTTTTGCCAACTTACTTTACCTATGGTGAAGGCAAAATATCCGTCGACTGAGATGGTTAGGCCAAGTATTTTACATGCCAAACCACCGACTAACACGACGCACAATGCTGACCAGTGTTGGAGATGGATGGAAGTTAGGGGCGACCAAACCAAAACGTGGCATCAGTCCATAAGGTCACTAAGTCCTGGTCTGAGCCATGTCGGTAGATCCAGATTACTTGGTTGGGGTCTGCGCGACTATCATAACCAGTGACTGGAAACGCTATGTGACGACTCAGAATCGATCACAATGGCGTAGGTGTATACGCTCTTTGTCTTCCCATAAACCGTGAGATGAAAATTACTTTATACCTTTCTTTCTACGAACCAATTCTTTCTCTTTGTATTGTATCCTTATATGAAATCTTTCTTTTATATATTACCATCATTGAGATAACTACTTCTGTGGATTTAGTGATCATCTTGTTGTGCTAATGAGGTGTGGCAACTTCTACCGATGCATATACGTGCCTGGTCCTACGTTTCAGCTGGCTAACTGACTTTCCTTCCTCTAAGGTATTGGCTGTCTAATTTGTTATTTAAATTTAACAGGTCTGTTTCGGGTGCATAACCTAAGTCCCTACCCATTTGATCCCATTGTTGTACGGGCCTGTATTTTCTTGGAATTCTTTTCAACAATAAATTAACTGAATACTTTAAAAAAATATTTGTTACTAAACTATAGATGATCTAATCGTATAATAATGGTTATAATTTATATTATACTACTTATGCATCAAGGGACATTCCAAAGAAGTATCGTCAATATGTTGGTGGAGTATGGGTGCCTCTTCTGCAAACGTCAAGGACAGTAAGTACAAAGGACTACTTATATCCGGTGGTCTTGATGGTTATCTGATTTCTGGTTTATGGACCCTTCGCGCATAGAAAGTCCTAACTGGTCAGAATCAGATATTTGTCATATCTGTAGCGGGCCATTTTTCTGGAATGTCCGTAAAATGTGGAACAACATGTCGGTTGGTGTGCGTCAGGTATTCATTTTTGTACAGTTTCGTTAAACGTATGCTCATTAATGTAATGCAGGTCTTTCAATTCAGTGAATGTTAACCAAATTATCAGCATCACATTATTCATTCTAGAATGATTGTCATAGCTTTTGAGAAAAGCTGAAGGTTACAAAGACAACAGCTTGTAACCTTCCTATTTGTTTTTAACTCTTCAGCTAATATCTGTTAGGACAGTGATCGCCACTTAAGAGAATCGTATTCTGAATGATCGGAGACGACTTAAGATGAAAGAATAAGGAGTTCACTGTTTTATCGAATTCCAGTAAATTTGTACTGACCGAGAATATAACTTATATGTAAGATCACGTGTTCTCTAGTGTAAATCAGTATGTGCTGTGGTAAATCTCCCCCTTATAGTTTTCGTGTCATGTTGCTAATCATTTATTAACTTACGGCACACCTTATAGTCAATGTATGCGCTTCAAACCTCCACGTTCAGTTGATTCTGTTGGTTATATTTCAAATCAATTTTACTAGTGATCGTGTTATATTTCTCTCTTACGGTTATAACCCAGCTATTCCTATTGCTTAGTATTTTTGGACACCAAATCACTCGACAAGTCCCCAAATCAGAACACGGTTGAACAGGAAAGAGATTATATTCCAAATAACAAGGTTAGATGGAAGCAAGAAGCACAATAGGGAAAACGTTAGTATATTTATAGTTTTTACATGAGAAGATTCTAGAGTATTCTCCAAGTATCGACTAGTGCTGATTGGATAAGGATCAGCCAATCAGCGTGCAGCAAAGCAATCGTGCATTGAGCATGCTTTAATCCAGTCTATGTCCCGCTAACACCTCCCCTTTGAGCAGATACGTAGGATCTGGTGCTAGTGTTCAACTGCAACCGAGTGACTGGCCTGTGCTTTCGATTTTTCCATAGTCTGGGCAATAAAGAAGTATCACTCTTTCTGGCACAGGAACTGACATGTCTGCTCCAGGCGTTTTGATTTCAAAGGTGTCTAGCAGAACATCAAGAGGTAATCGATATTGAATCTCGTTGCTGGCTATCGAAGTTGCTTTCAATTGATTAGCATGACGTATCCAAACTTCTTAGCCAACTGACACCTCATAAACCACACTCCCCTTCTTTCCAAGATCCGATCAGCTGTCCATGTAGGATGTTTCTCACGATAGTCCCTAGCAAGTACTTTTTGTCGCACACTAAACAATCGTCTTTGTGCTCCATGATTTCGATTGAACTGATTCTCCATCGATAGGTTTCGTTGAGGCTCGAAAGCTGGCGCATAACATCGAAATGTGTTCGTATTTTTCCGCCAAGTAGCGCTTTTGCTGGAGAGGACTGTTAATCGTCTGAGGGTTCGGTGTAGAGCGGTAAATAAGCAGGAACCTCTCTAAGATCTCTTCAGTGGTCCCTTCCCAATTTGGATTTTTTAGAGCATTTTTAGATGTACTCACAAAGCGTTCCACTTAGCCATTTGATTGGGGATGGAATGGAGGTGTTCGGACGTGATGAATTCCGTTCTGCCGACAAAATTGTGAGATGACGGACGTAATCTGTGTTTCGTTGTCACTAACTATCGATTCCGGGATTCCGAAACGACCGAATAGTTGACGTAGTTTACTGACTGTGCAGCTTGCAGTCGGGCATTCCATGAGAAAAATTTCTGGGATAGCTGCTCCAGTTGGGTGTCTAAATGCGGCCAGTATACATAACTTCGTGCTAGTGCTTTCATGCGATTTATTCCAGGATGTCCTGCATGCAACTGTTCAAGCACTGCTGGTTGTAGCTTCTTGGGAATTATGACACGTTCGGCAAACAGCAGACAGTCATCGATGATTGAAAGAGAGAGTCTTCGCTGGTAAAACTGTTGAAGCTCTGTGGAACTGATTTTCGAGGGCCACCCTTCTAGGTGGAACTTTCTAACTTCTTGTAGGGTTGGGTCTCGAAGCGTTTCTTCCTGACTTCATCTGACGACACTGGAGTGTTTCGAATGGCATCTGCCACTATACTTCGTATTTCTGGGTCTACTGCTGTGGAGGCAATGATTATATCCTCTGGTCCAGGATGTTGAACTCCAATTAATCGGGAGAGAGCGTCAGCTTGACCGATAGTATTTGTCGACTGATACTTGATATTAAAATCATAACTCAGGAGCATTGTTGCCCAGCGCTGTAGTCTATTAGCCGTATAGACAGGGATTCCTTTCTTAGAACCAAAGATTGCAATCAAAGGTTTGTGATCTGTCAGTAGAGTAAATGTACGACCATAGAGCATTTTATGAAATCTTTTGACTGCGAAAATGATTGCAAGAGCTTCCTTTTCAATTTGGCTGTAGTTTCGCTCGGCTGGAGTAAGTGATCTAGCAGCATGGGCAATTGTCTTTTCTGATTTATCCGGAAACACGTGAGATATCACTGCTCCAACTCCATGACTAGAGGCATCAGATGCAACAACAATTTCCAAGCTGGGATCGAAGTGCGTCAAAAGAATCTTTGAGCTGAGCATTGATTTGACTCTGTCAAAAGATGCTTGACATTCTGCTGACCACTGCCAAGGTTTATCTTTCGATAGTAATTCATTTAGGGGACCTCTCACTCGATGCATTTCAGGCAAGAATGTGCTGTAATGACTGATTAACCCCAAGAAGGATCTTAATGAAGAAACATCAGTTGGTGCAGGCATCTTCTGAATGGCTTCGATGTTGGCAGGGTCTGGTCGGCGACCGTTCTTATCTAAGATAAAACCAAGGTATTTGATCGAATGCATGAAGAAGATACATTTTTCCTCACGTAGTTGGAAACCATACTCCAACACTCGGTTAAGGACTTGGTGTAGTCGATCAGAAAGTTCACTGTCAGTTGAACCCATAACTATGATATCATCTAGATAAGCTGCTGTACCAGGTATACCTGTTAGCATCGTATCCATTATTTGCTGAAAGATGGCGGGTGCGGTCTTGATGCCAAATGGTAGACGGTGTATTGAAATAACCCTCGATGAGTGTTAATGGTCAGAAGCTCTCTACTATCTTCATCTACTTCCACTTGGAGATAAGCATCAGAGAAGTCTATTTTCGCGAAACATGTCCCACCATTAAGCTTGGCAAACAGGTCTTCAGGAACTGGTAAGGGATATTGATATACATCTAATGCAGCATTTAAACCGGTCGAGAAATCGGCACATATGCGTATAGTTCCATTGGCCTTCTTAATCACTACGATCGGTGCGGCCCATGCAGAGTAGTTAACTGGTCGGATTACACCAGCCTGTTGCAAGCGATTAAGTTCCTGGTCGACTAGCTCAAGAGCAGCATATGGTACAGGACGTCTCGGGCGAAAAATAGGTTTGGCATCTGGTTTCACTGGTAAGTGCGCTTTCATCTTGGTACAGTGGCCAAGGCTATTCTGAAAAACAGAGGCAAACTTTCTTTTCAGTTTTTCTAGTAACCTTTCACCTGTCTTCTTTGGAAGTACTGGGGTGTCCAATGATGAACACGATACGTTACAGACACTGTTAATTGGTATATCCATTATTCCAAGTTTGTCTAACATATCTAGACCAAGAAGATCAAGGTTCGGCCGTTCTGTTAGGTAACATATTCCTGTACAGTTAGTTCCATTGAAGGAAAATTCACACTGTAATTCACCAACCAGTTTTAGCACACCACCTGATGCGTTTTTAGCCGTTTTCTTAGATGGCTTCATTGGCAGTTTACCCAGCAAGGTGATATCTGATGCCGTGTCAATTTGAAGACGAGCTGATATGCCGTTTATCTGGATGGTAACATACTTTCTCCGAATGTCATAGTTTGTTTGAAAGGCAGCTACCAGAGAAAGAGATTTAGACTCGGCTGATTTCACATGTCGAGGACGTTTATGCTTCTTCTTAGGCTGAGACGTACGCTTCGGTGGACAATGACCTTCTTTATGTCCACGTTTGTTGCACCTGACATTTATGCTTCTTGAACGGACAGAATCGTGCATAATGCCAATCACCGCATAACCAGCATGCAGTCCTTGGTTTGTTACGAGTTTTTACCGGCTTCTGAACTTTTAACCTAGTAATAGTATTGACACTACCGCAGGTTAAATTAGGATTTACCTGTTCAATCAACTCGTTGTCGTGTCTGATGCTTTGTAGACGCTTACACTCATCTGTCAATGTTCTGAGTGTGACGTTTGGGTCTTGATCCAGTCGAGCCAAAAGTCTAGTCCTGATCTCAGCATCTTGTGGTGACTGAAGAGCTTTGATGAATATTAAGCATTTAAATTGGTCATCAGTCAACGAGCGTAACTTGAAACGTTCACATTCTCTGTTGACGATGTCTGCTAGAACACCATATTCATCGGCTTCGCGTTTCACCAAATTTAGAGACCGATATCTAATACTAAAAAATAAGGACTCACCAAATATCTCTGACATTTGAATTACCGTCTCCTCGAAACTGAGCTCTCGAGGTAACCTTGGCAATATATGTTCGGTATAACGTGCATGTTCATTGCTTCCCAACTTACGTACCAACAGTCGAGTCTTCCACGCGTCGTCTTGGTTACAGAATTCTGTTCTAAATGTATCTTCCCAACGTTTGAACCACATGAGAAAAGTATTTCCACTTTCGGGATCATAGACGAATTCTGGGATGCTGCTAGCAACTGCATCACAAGACGTACTTGAAATAGCATGTGAACTCGGGCAGTGGATTTTAAGCTGTTGAGTCAGAGTCTCCAACAACCGCATTTGTGCATCAAGTTGTGCTTGCTGTTGTTGTAGTATTCGGTTAAGCTGGTCATCTGATATGGACATCTTGGATTTGTTTTCCTTTTTCCTCGTCGCCACTGTCATATTTCTCTCTTACGGTTATAACCCAGCTATTCCTATTGCTTAGTATTTTTGGACACCAAATCACTCGACAAGTCCCCAAATCAGAACACGGTTGAACAGGAAAGAGATTATATTCCAAATAACAAGGTTAGATGGAAGCAAGAAGCACAATAGGGAAAACGTTAGTATATTTATAGTTTTTACATGAGAAGATTCTAGAGTATTCTCCAAGTATCGACTAGTGCTGATTGGATAAGAATCAGCCAATCAGCGTGCAGCAAAGCAATCGTGCATTGAGCATGCTTTAATCCAGTCTATGTCCTGCTAACAGATCGATTATGGTGGTCAACATGGTTTTGTTGAACAGACTTTACTCAAAAGCTTCTCAATTGTCTATATTTGTTGTGGTTAAGTTTTATATTTGTGAATTCGTGTTAAGTGACACTTCTGTACCAAAGCATCTCGTTGTAATTGGGGATGTAATATGTGAGAAAAGATTAAAAACTGAAACCTTACAGTTGGTCATGCATTATTAAGTAAAAGTATCCCATTGACTGGTCTTTTGAACAAACGTTGGAAGACAGGTTCGTTCTCAACTATAGTTTTTCCTGAATGTTTGCAGTTGTTTGTGGGATTTGCGCCATTAAGTATCAAGTTCTACCTTATTACTACCATGACCGGAACGCTCCCCATGTTTTTCACCCATATTTGCTAGCGTAATATGTCAGGGCGTTGGAATCATTGCATTTCTTCGTAGTAATGCTTTGTGAATTTATATTCATTATCTCGAAGTCGGAGTTGTCTACGATATGCGATTAGTACTTTTCCAATAAGTTATATTGTTAAAACTATTTCGTCAACAAAATTTTACTTCCTAAAAAGTTAGAATCAGAGAGTTATTTTCTAATATGTAATGAAATCAAGATACGATAGGAGGCCAGGAAGCCTCTAGCATCTGTTTTTATTTTTGTAGAGGATTTGAAATTTAAATGAGATAATCCAGGGGTATGGAGATGTTCATTCTTTTCTTTGCGATAGCCGATAGACACGATTATTTTCCCTCCGAACTCTATACTACATCATACTTTATGTTGTTAAGCTGGTGTTTAATTTCGACCCATATTTTTCCTTCACTACTTTAGCATCACTGTCGTCGATGTGGTCATGCTGTTTGTGACAAATGTTCTCCTTATCGGTCTAATCTACCGTGCATGGGTTTTGAAAAAGATGTTCGTATATGCAATCAATGCTTTCCTTTAATAACTGATTCAGAGTATGTGATTTTAAAGTTGGTCTATTTTTTATCCAAATAAAATTATGTATTTGTAAATAGCGGTAACAGTGGCTCTAATATTAGTAATTAGGGTCCACTGCATTCAGTCAAATTCAAATTTCTGTCCTTCCTACTTTTTTCCGAGCTATCAAGTAGTATATATAGCGCTGACAAATATCGATCGTCTGTATTTTGGTTATCTAGTCGTTTAATTCACTACGAGAGTCATTTCATTCTGTGGATAATTAGTATTCAAGATCAATGTTTGTCCGTTTTATCAGTTTACTAACGAAAGTGCACTTGAGTTATGAAGTATGGCGAGCGTTTCGAAATTCCCTCATACAAAGTTTGTACCATCAGCACGCGGACTATTCGTCAGGTGCACTTTTATGCTTGACGAATTCATTAGTAATAGACCTTAAAGTGGAACGTTTGATATTGTTTATTTGGTAATATTCCATCTAATATATGAGAATTGTAAAGTCTATTCCTAAAGTTCTTGTTTTATATTGGTGTCCAGTTATTTCCCTTGTTATGGTACATTTTCATCCCCCTCCAGGTGGAGAGAGTCCGCCCTCGCTCTCCGAATACCCACACATGGCCTAGCGTATACAGCTACTGCTAGGAAAGTCGTACCCGCTGCCTCTTCATATTGAGTGTTGTTTACAAAATTGAAAGGACAAAAATTGGAACGCCCAGCGCTTCAACCGGCTTAGCGGATACGGAGGATCCACCTAAGGAATTTGGAAAATCATGACTCCAAACCAGTTGTGCACATGGGTTCCAGGATCCTGGCAGAACAAATGGCATATGAACCTATTCTTGGCCGCTGGCTACCATGGGACTGCATCTCCTAACGTAGCTCCACTCCCTTGTGGATTAAACCTCTGGGTCAAAAACTCGGGGAGTGACCGTCTAAGAAAACCACACGCTTCAGTTTTAGCACACGGGTAGTATCCAAGCCTACATAAATTCAATGATTTTTGTAACGCATATATATTTTGGAGTCTCTTTGAGCCAATGTTTTTGTGTTTAAATAAATGAATATGGTAAATTTTTGTCAGGCAAAACAACATAGCTTAATAATTGTTAACTGACTTTGTTTCGTTATCTTTTAGCCGCAGGAGTTTGGCTATTTCGTTTGACGCTCGCCATCCTGTTACATGTATTCGTGTAGAGGAATCCTTGAACTTACTTCTAACGGTTGGGAAAGATCGGATTATCAAGGTAACTACATATTTGTTGTAACAAATATGTAGTTTTTTGAAATTTAAAGTAGGTCAAAGTGACCCGTGTAATAACTAGAATCATGACTCCAGCAAACAAACTTCTTCACTAATAAGTATATCTTCTATCTACAACTTTCATTATCAGACGTTCTATCATGGTATAAACAAACATATTACTGAAGTGATATTTTCGATCGTTGGGTTTTTGGTAATTCATGTACTCACACCCTGTACAGGTGTTGTTTAGATTTATTTCTGTTACGAACAAACATGATGAATTTCTTTAGAGAGTTGTTGAATACATTTCACACATGAAATATTTAGCGTGAAATTTATTTTAACAGTTCAGATAAACATGGTTAGCATGCTCTTTGCTTCACACTAGGTTCGACCGAGTCTCTACGTTTATTTTACGTGAGTGTGGCAAAACAAGCTTACTGGACGTTAATTATATTGGCCTCTATATTGTTAATGTGTATAGATCCTATATGAAAATCTAAATGAGGTATATAAGTTACACAAATAGCTAGTCAGTAGTGTATAGTAATTAAGCGCTATGATAGTCAAGAAGAATCACTAGTACGAGTTTATTTGCTGACTGTGCCGTCGCTTTCACTATGACAGTAATTGTACTATCGTTAAACCTGTCAAGAATGATTAGGTTCAAGTGTATAACTATCAGTCGGCGTTGTTTTGGTTGAATATAGGCATTTCATAGCACAAAACATTGTATTTTGATACCTAGTTGCTTGAATTCCCGAATGTCATCCACTCTCAATTGGAAAAATAACGTGTTATTGAAATTGTGTATATGTATGGTGCATGTTTTTTTTGTAACTTTAATTACTGACTAGTTTACGGTTTTTTTTGTTTTTAGGTGTGGGATATCAAGGCTTTTTCATCAAATCCACATTCATAAACTGTATACACTACAAATGCTATTTTATGTGATTTATTTGGTAGGATTATTTCCAGCCTTTCATGGTGCATACACCAGTGATTTTGAGACACTTTATTCATCTTTATGTTCTACGACACATTTGATTTTGAGAACGTGTTTTATTTGAAATTGTCTAAAAATGATCTCTGATAACTTTGAATAAGATATATAGGCATAATTCTATAATATATTTACGTTTCCTCATAAATTTACTGTACATATCATAAGTATTTTAGCGTCTTTCTAATGTAGTTTAAGATGATTCTGTATGTAAAATCCTTGCTTAATAATATTAAAGCTAACCTACCACTTATTATTCAGAAGTTAGTCTTACTTAGTTTCGCTAGTTCGATATTGATAAACAGGAAAGGCTGAAACTCTGCACACCAATGCAATAGTTGAGTTTCCCGTAATGAAAACGACAGCCTCATGATTCCTATATTTCCTCAGTGTTTCGGGGTCAAACTATTTCATGTTATTCACATAACTACAATATGATGCCTGCGTTCTATAAGCTTTAGAATGCGTTTGGGCTAGAAAATACCTCATAAGAAATCTGATATACAAACACGTCCCTTGTCTACTGAAAGCCACGGTAGTGCACAGTCGATAGGATATAGTGCAGGTCACTTAGCCAGCTGAAACGTAGGACCAGGCACGTATATGCATCGGTAGAAGTTGCCACACCTCATTAGCACAACAAGATGATCACTAAATCCACAGAAGTAGTTATCTCAATGATGGTAATATATAAAAGAAAGATTTCATATAAGGATACAATACAAAGAGAAAGAATTGGTTCGTAGAAAGAAAGGTATAAAGTAATTTTCATCTCACGGTTTATGGGAAGACAAAGAGCGTATACACCTACGCCATTGTGATCGATTCTGAGTCGTCACATAGCGTTTCCAGTCACTGGTTATGATAGTCGCGCAGACCCCAACCAAGTAATCTGGATCTACCGACATGGCTCAGACCAGGACTTAGTGACCTTATGGACTGATGCCACGTTTTGGTTTGGTCGCCCCTAACTTCCATCCATCTCCAACACTGGTCAGCATTGTGCGTCGTGTTAGTCGGTGGTTTGGCATGTAAAATACTTGGCCTAACCATCTCAGTCGACGGATATTTTGCCTTCACCATAGGTAAAGTAAGTTGGCAAAAGCCAAACGAGCTTTCTGAATCCGTGCAGAGATTTTGTCAGGCACCAATCAATTAGTGCCGAACAGACTTCCAAGATAAGTGAAGTTGTCGACGTGTTCGACCACTCACTCCCTATCCTTAGTTCAGGTGTTGACGCAGGTCAGTCCTGAAGTAATAATTTGCATTTAGAGGTGGAGAAACGCATTCCAAACATTCTGGCATTGTTGCTGAGTACTACCAAAAACTCTGCATCTTATTAGCGTCTTCACCAAACAGGACTGTCATCTGTGTATTCTAAGTGTATCTCCTGGTAGGAGATCAATTCCTGAAAACTCAGTCGACGAGAACGTTATTTCCAGCAGTAGGTCTATGATGAAATTAAACAAAAATGGAGATAGTGAACAGCCTTGTCGGACACCACTTGAAGTTGTGAAATCGGATGACAGTTCGCCATAAGCTCTAACTCGACTGGTAGTGTTCGAGTAAAGAGACTTCACAAGATTTACGTACTTCTGAGGCACGCCTTTCAATGACAGACACTGCCACAGAACATCTCGGTCTAGAGTCAAATGCTGCTTTTAAGTCAAGGAAAGCTATCATATCGGATACTGATAGGCATGCCTGTGTTCTAAGATCTGATGAATGTTGAATCTGTGGTCGATGCGGCCACGACCAGGTCTGAAGCCAGCCCGATTTTCACGTGTTTGCAGTTCACGAGTCTTTGTTGGGCGTCCTGTAGTTACTGAGGCTAGTATTTTAGATGTTATGTTAGTCAAACTAATGTACTATGATAGTCACAGGATGATTTTGACCTCTTATATATTGGGACAATCAGTGATTGTGATCAGTCAGATGGGATTAAGTTCAACTCCCGGATTTTAGTTAAAATATTAGCTAACCTAATCGCTAAAGCTGGACCACCATACATAAAGACCTCTGGAGCCAATCCATCTGGACTAGCTGCTCTTCCTCGTTTCAGATTAGCTATAGCTTTTGAAATTTCGATTAGTTGGTGGACCTACTTCAGTGTTCCACTCAGGCTGTTTGGAGATGGTGGGTAGCTGTAGAGCAGCTGAACTGCTCCCTAAAGTGTTCAACCCATCGTTCTAAATATCTAAGAGCGCCGTTATTTTCGAGATTGTCTCACTTACACTTAACTTCTTAATCCCGGTTTCTTCTATTAGTTCGAAAAGCCGTCTTGTGTTACATACAGCCGCTGTCTTTTCCATATCTTTTGCTTTTGGTTAGCCTAGATCTGACTTGCTTTCGCTCTTCATCGTGTTCGGAGCCTGATGGGATGAATTTGCGAGGGTCTATCAGGGCAATAGACTTCGTAGAAATCCACTGATTTTTCGTGGCCCTTTGGTTCAAATCACTAATAGATGTCGCTACTGTTTCCACAGCTGTTAGTATATCTTTACAAGTAACATCTGGGTCAGCCTTGTTTTCAGAATTGCCTAAGTGTGACTTCGTTTGTTCCTAAAATTTACCTTTGCCCTTCTCATCGCTGACTTCATTTTTAATGGGTCTGTTTAATGTGGCTTTTCTGCATCCAGTGAGGCGCAGGTGAATGCGTGCTCGTATTAGAGCATGAACAGAGTCTAAACATGTACCCCAGAACGAGAAGCAGTCTTCTATCTGGCTTCTCCAAGGATGACTGATGGCAATATGGCCTATTGGAGTTCATCGTTGGTTTGTTGCAGGAGGTCGTTACGTTAGACGATGTCTCTTCTTATGCTTGAAATTAGTGCTTGTTAAAATTTATTTTTTTTATTTTGAACACATGAATATTGGTACAAGAGAGCGCCAATATATATGCGCCACACACACGTGGAGTGGTAGCTAGCCTAGAGGCTAGCTCGGTTCGATACTTACTTGCAACAGAAGTTGCAACCAGCTTGCTAACATCAATCCGTTGATGGCGGTCACTTCGTTGTCCACTGAAAAGTAAGGCAAGATTGGCGCAGACCAAGGCATGGTCAGAGTCCAGATAGGTACTCCAAAAGGAGCGGCAGTCTTGTACACAACCACGCCAGCGGTAGCTGATCGCGATGTGATCAATCTGAGTCCAGGCTTGAGATGCAGAGGGAGGACGCCAGGTGGCACATCGGCGATGACTGTGCCGAAAGTTAGTGCTAGCCAGAAACAGGTTGTGGTCTGTGCATATTTGCAGTAGACGGTCCCCGTTATCTGACCTGCGACCAACGAGTCCCCATCGGCCACCTAAACGACTCTTTTCTGTGCCTAGACGCCCGACCTGAGCATTCAAGTCTCCGGCTAGTACTACAATATCTGTCGAACGCACTTTCTGGAGAAGAACAGATAACTGGTGGTAAAACTCATCCTTGATTGCATCCGGGCTGCAATCTGTCGGGGCATAGGCGGAGATGACGAAAAGACCGTTTCTCACGCCGATTTCTTCTCACTTTGATGGAACTTTCTAATCTAACAGCACATAACCGACTGTTAATGGGGATCCAATCGACTAGTGCTGCCTCAGCTCTAGCGCTTAGTGCGACACCAACGCCAGCAAGACCAGACGAAGATGCCACAGGGTCCCCGGATAAGCGCACGTAAAACAAGCTTTTTGAAGCGACAGATATAGAGCGAATTTGTAGTACTTCACCAGAGTCTTGAATACGGGTCTCGGATAGACAGCAGACATCGATATGAAGACTTTCCAAAGACATAGCCAGCCCTATCTGTTGTCCAACCTGCATAAGTGTGCGAACGTTGAAGGCAGCCAGTTTGAATGGCGCACGTGGTTTCAGAAAAACTGCTTCAGTACTCATATTCGGTGGTAACATACAATTTTCAACCGGACAGTGACTCGAGAACGTCTAGATACAGTCGAATTTCCACCAAAGACGAGCCGCTGTATAAGTATAAAAGAGGGTGAATAATGTGGAAAATAATAATGACAATAATAGTAATGATAATAATAGTATTAATAATGACAATAATTGTAATGATAATAATTTGAATCAATTGATTGTTTTTCGAAGCGAGACAAGTAATTTCCATAGACATAGAGAGTTCATCATTTGTGTGTGCGCTGCGATACTGCCCGGGTGTCCAAACCGAAGCAGGTGGTTATCTTAGGGGGCCACTCCCCGAGCCTTTGATCTAAAGGTCTAACCCACAAGGCAGTGGAGCATCGTAAGGAGATGCAATCCCATGGTAGCCGGTGACCAACGATTGGTTCATACGCCATTTGTTCCGTCAGGATACTGGAGCCCATGTGCGCCATTGGTTTGTGATCCGGTTAAAGCGCCGGACATTCGCTTTTCGTCCTCTCATTTTTGTAAACAACACCCCCGCCACGAGAAGGCAATGAGTAGGACTCCCCTGGCAGAGGCTGTACACGCGCGGCCGTGTGAGAGTATTTCGAGAGGGAGGGCGGACTCTCCCCACTCTCGGCCGTACCAGGGCATTGTTAAAATTAGACGATTATTTTATTTATTTGAACACATGAATATTGGTACAATAGAGCGCCAATATATATGCGCCGCTTATACTTATACAGCGGCTCGTCTTTGGTGGAAAATAGACGATTGTTTGAGCACAGTTGCAGCAGACAATCACCATTATCTGTTCGCTGATCCGGAATACCTAAATACCTACCTAAATGTATTTCTGTTTGTTTTAAGCTAACCACTTGGGCGTTAGAGTCGCCTGCTACAAGTACTATGTCTGCGTGTTTAGCTTTTTGAAGCTTCCTGTAAAATTCATCTCACTTCGTCCGGGCTGCAGTTAGTGGGAGTGTAGGTAGAAACGACGTGTGTCCCTATCCTTCCGAGTTCTTACGGAGCTGTTTATCCGAATAGCACACAAGC